TTTTCGGTCGGTTTTTGCATCGGTTGGCTAGGCCGTGGTTAAGGCAAAAACCATGGGTTCTTGACTAACCACCCACCCAGCGATGGGAAGATCTTCCCATCGATGGGTAAGCGGTCCCTTAGCCAAACCAATTTCCAGAACCATGCCAAACAGCGATGGGAAGTTCTACCCATCGCTGTTCAAGCCTTGGTGCAAAATTATCACAAGGCAGAACAACCTTGCCCAGCGATGGGAAACCTATCCCATCAATGGGAACCCAGCGATGGTAAGGGTAAACCATTGATGGGAAGGGATGACCGTTGTAGGTCATTTAAGGTTGATTCTTTCCTTGTTTGAAAGTCAACCTCCCACCCAGCGATGGGAAGCTTGTACCCATCGATGGGTAGGTGACCGTTGGCTTCAAAACTGAAGGAAAATTGGCTTACCAGCGATGGTTGAGTCTAAACATCGATGGGAAGCCAATATTCTGCAGATCCCAAAATTTTTCAATCGCATAAATCAAGCCAATCACCCCTTTAATGCATTGGTCCGTTGGAGCCTATTTTGGCACTATAAAAAGGGGTGTTTGGGTCTGCTTTTCTCACCAATTCACTTCACAACATTCATACTTTCATTGCATTCAAATATCATCATTTTCCATAGCTTTCTAGATGTTAGGCTCTTTTATAGTCTTTAAATTCCCTTACATTTACTAATAATTGGGTCACCATTAGTGAGAATTTGGTTTAATTTAAGATCAAGAAAGAACGTTGACCATCCTAGAGGTTAGAGTGCAATTCTTGTGTTATTTTAGGTCCAATGGGTTAATTGTTAGAATCGGGCTAGACGACCCGAAGTGAAAATAACCAACCCGGCCCATTAGTTGAGTACAAAACTTAGGATGTGAGAGGGAGAGATCAGTTACGTAAGAGGGAGAGATCAGTTACGTGAGAGGAGAAAGAAACGAGAGAAAGGGAAGAGGAGATCGAAGAGTTAACCGAGAGAGAAACTCGGCGACCAGGCATAATCCGGCGAGCTAGACCTCGCGATCATCATCATTCGTCGCACAATCACCAAGCGCTCCTCCCGATCAAGCGCTTTAACCGAACAGAGGAGTCATCACGTTCGTAGGATTTGATCCTCGAACGCTGTCCATAGGTCATTCGTTGTTTTAGTTTTCAAATTCGAGATACAGTTTTAATGTTTGAGGATTGTTTGAATTGTTGATTCGTAATTGAATGTGTGATTTCGTGTTATTCAAATCTGAGTCCTAATCTCTTGTTTGGACAATATTTTCCTGTGATCATGTGTTTAATTTGTGAATCGATTATCATGATCATGTCCCGAGAGTAATCACTCTCTTGTCTGGTGGAAATTTAGGATCAGTTCTCAGGAAGTTGTGTTCGTTGCAATGATTTGAGGTTTAGACAGTTGTTGAAGGTTGTTTAATCCTGTTTTGTGCTCAGCTTCTCAAAACTGTTGATTGTAGGTCTCATGCCTCAATTATTCAGTCTGAAATTCTTATTTGGGGTTCAACAACTGACATAAAGTGTATTTGGCTGTCCAAGTATATTGTATGTTGAAAAGGTTTTTTATAACTGAATTCATGCTTATGTTAATTTGCATCAGGCTCATCCTGAGGTTATTAACGTAGGTACAGGTCCTTAGGCAGTGCTCATCTCTCTTAAGGACTGATTTTTGAGGTGGAGATTTAGCTCCTTGCTGAGAGAGCTAAATCTCACTTTTGTTCAACAACTTGTTTAACTGAGAATCTGATTTTTTTTTACTCTGATCTGAGTAACTGTTCCTAATACCACCAGACAAGCTTGTTCACTCAATTTGATAACCACAAACCTTTACCTGAACTTCTCTCTCCTTCTTTGATCTGTTCTCATTGTTTCTGTTAAAATCTGTTTTCATTACGTAGCATTAGCATCTTATGAACAACCCCCCCCTTGTGTGTGTGTGTTGTGGAAACTGAGTAATAAATCAAGAGAAGAAATAATAGAAGACAAATCTCCCTGTGGAAGAATGACCCTACTTACCACCTTACTACCATTTTCATAAGTGTGTAGTAATTGGGGAATAGGTTAATTTGTTGTCACCTGACAAGTGGCTAACAAATTTTGGCGCCGTTGCCGGGGAGATTTGATCTCTTCTATCTTTTCTAACTGTCATACTAGGTCTTTATAAGTTGTTTTTGTGAACATCTGTGTCTATTATACACTGATAAAATTCACCAAAGTGCAAACTCTTCTTTTTTGCTGTGACTCACTGTGGAGTTGGCACTAACCCTTGTTTTAAGTGTTGTGTCAGTATCTGCCTTTTGATGCAGTTAAGAAGTGGTTTGGAGACCACAAGGGTAAGTGTTGATTTAAATTTGGAGAATCAGGTCAGTATATCTGAGGTTGCTACTTCTTTTGATTCTGAATTAGAATCTGAAACTGAGGTAATTGTTTCTCCTGTCAAATCACATAATAACATGGCAACTTTAAGGGAACTAGCTGCACCTGACCTTCAGGCCCAGCCCATGTCCATTACTTATGCTGTTTTGGAAAAACCATTGAAATTAAACTCTGGATTTTTGAATATGCTTCCCAAGTTTCATGGCCTGCCTGGTGAAGACCCTTATAGACATGTTAATGAGTTCCTCATAACATGTGCAGCCATGGAACCTGAAGAAGTTCCTCAAGAACAAATCAGACTTAGGGCCTTTCCCTTTTCAGTGATGGACAGAGCAAAAGATTGGCTGTACTATATGCCTCCTGGATCTTTTACAACCTGGCCATCACTGCATAGGGCATTTTTAGAGGAGTTCTTTCCTGCCTCTAGAATAGAATCTATTAGGAAGGACATCTGTGGGATAAAACAAATGGGGAATGAATCATTTTCTGAATATTGGAAGAGATTCAATAAACTCTGTGCTAGTTGTCCTCAGCATCAAATCTCTGAACAGCTGCTCATCCAGTACTTCTATGAAGGGTTATCCCTAATGGATAGAAGTATGGTAGATGCTGCTAGTGGTGGTGCTCTAGTT